GTCTTATCTAGACAAACCAGCGGACATTTATAACAAAATAAACATTTATATACTTTTAACCCTAATGATCGTCTTGCACTGTTTTCCTCAAAAACCTTAATTTCTTAATGTCACCATTATATGTTTAAAACAATAATATCTTAGTAAAAACCTAAAGTAACATATTGACAAACTACATATCATTTGAAAGCTTACAATCTCTAGTTTTCATATTTGGTGGCTGTTCTTTAAAATAAATTACAGAGGAGCATTAATTTATCAATTTGCAACAAGAATATTTCAAATTCATTAGGCGTGTTCAGACCTTTATTTTGAAATGAAAAATCATGAAAGAATGGTAGAAACCTCAGTTTTCATCCCAAGAGTTCAAAAGATAGCATCCATTCAATTTTATGAGAAAAAAATGTTTTAAATATAAAGAAACATATTATGGATTCTCGATTTGTGATCTGCGAGCTATAATCCAAATGTGTGTTCTTTTTGTGCGCTTATTAGAGGTTAAATTCAAATCAAATACTGCCAAACTTCCCATACTACTTCTGAATAGGATGTCTACTTCATAAATTGTATGAAAATTATGGAAATAATGGTTCAGATCACTCAAAACACATATGGAAATGGAGGCGCCCTTATATGGGCAGTAATGGAGTCTGGTTGTGACCTAGTGAAAAAGTTTGGTATTTTATATAAATAATTATATTTTTACATTGTACATTTTTTATAAACTCAAACTTACATAACTTTTTTTCTGTTTCACTTTCATAATTTATTTCTTCTACAATAATCTAGCAAATGTCTTCTTTAAAACAAGACCAACCATACATGTATATTCCAAAGCATTCTTGAATCACAACCATTGAACTTTGGATAGTGATGTTCATGTCTATGTGAATATTTTTTTTTTTGTTCATCAGCCTTTTTTTTGTTCATGTCTATGTGCATCAGCCTGTTGTTGATTATGTTCCAGCTTTAACGAGGAAACACACAACTGCTACAGCTTCACGCTGACTTTCATCAACTGTGTTCTGGCGGCGCAGTCCAAGCCGGGCCTGAGCAAAGACGGCTTCACACACACCTTCGTTCTGCCCCGGATCAGGAGAGCCTCCAAGTACATGATGTTGTGTCGTGAGATTTCCCAGAACCACTTCTACATCGTCGATAACCCGAAGAGGAACTCGCAGGAGAGTCCGAGCGAGGAGGACGAGGACAGCAAGAACCTCTGAGCCCATAGTTCATCATATTTATGATTCATGTATCTTGTATCAAGGTGGAATTTGATTGAATGATGCCTAAATGTGCCTATTACTGTTATATGAGCTGAAACTACACTTTTGTAAAGCTATATTGTATTCATATTTCACTTCCAGAAAACACTTTACGGTTTAGATACTTGAGTTGAACCAACAGAATAAATGTGACACTGAGAACGACAACTGTCAATGTTTTTATCGTTCATCATCTGGAAAAAAAATCATTCTCACAACCTATGTCTCGTTATCGGTATATCTGTAAAGCGGAATCTTAATAAAAAAATATTACATATAGGCCTACTACGTTAGACCAACCCGAGAAGGGTCACATCACTTACATTGTCCTGTTATTAGTTTAACTGGTTCTATTGCTCTCCTCATTTGTAAGTCGCTTTGGATAAAAGTGTCTGCTAAATGATCAAATGTAAATGTATTCTTTGAAATTTAGACAGATTTTTAAAACGATAACTTGATCAGTGTCGTCGTTGGTGTGAATGCGGGTCTTTCGTCCAAAATTTGAGTTCTGTCAGAGCCCGTCTAACGGAGAGCCTTGGCACTTCCTATTAGCCCCATTGTGTATCATGTTGGTTGCAGTTCCATTAGAATTCCACTGGAGGTGATCGCGGGCGAGTGCAGAATGAATGGGAGTCTATGGAGCTAAACGGCTAAACGTATCTCTTTCTCCTGCTTGTCGTTGAATCCACATAGATTTAATTGTTGATTCCGCAAGTTCAATATAGATTATAGGCCAAAAGTCGAATGAACGAGTACTTATGTCCTTTAGATTTCTTACAGGTTAGGATTTTGTTGGCCGGAACACGCTAGCATTCTGCTATTATGTGACGTCATCACATTTTTTAACAGATTTTTAGAACAGATAAGTGAACTTAAAAATGCAATTTTCAGCTGAGTGTATTATCCCTTTTGAATGCAACTTTCAAATTACTTGACAAAAAATTACCATGAGAGCAGCAGGCGTAATATGACGCAGCGCCTGAAAATAGTTCTGTTGTGTTGACGGAAGGTAGCCTATTTTCAGGCGCTGCGTCATATCATTACGCCTGTTGCACTCATGGTACGGCAGTGAAGTTTCTTGATTATTACGCAGGAATGAGAGAATAGTTCCTAGCCATATCAGCCTAGAAAATCGCAACTTTACATTTTCCGTCGGTCTTAGTGCACGATGTAACTACAGAAGAGTCAAGTTTTAAATAGGAAAAATATCGAAACTCTTTGGTCATTTTTTTTTTTAGAAATGCTAATGGTCTTGTCCACTTCAATGATGTATGCTAAGCTATGCTAAAAGTGGTACCGCCAGAACCGGAGATCGGCTGAATGGGTTCAAAAACGGTAAAACTCAACAGTTTAACTCTGGGGGAGTTGTAAAATGAGCCTATTTCCAAAAAAAGTGGAGTATCCCTTTAAATTGAGATTTACGCATTATCTGAAAGCTGAATAAATAAGCTTTCCATTGATGTATGGTTTGTTAGGATAGGACAATATTTGGTCGAGATATGACTATTTGTAAATCTGGAATCTGAGGGTGTAAAAAAATCGAAACATTGAGAAAATCTCCTTTAAAGTTGTGCATTTATGTTGGCGATTGTGCTGCATTCACTCACAGAAATACATGATTTATATATTTACGGTAGAAAATTTACTAAATATCTTCATGTGATTTTTGGCATAAAAGAAAAATCGATAATTGTGTATTGTTGGCTATTGCCACAGATACCCGTGCGACTCGTGACTGGGTCTGTGATCACATGAGTGAAGAACGAATGAGTGAGTCACATATAGTAAACAACGGGATAAAAACGACATTATTTTCATGTTTTTTGCCACAAAATTACTATTCATTATGTACGGAAAGCACTAACTTTCTTCCCGCTAAACCACACACACAGAAACGCCGCTCTGACGATTTCATCAGTAAAATAGTGTAACAACCTAAAAGCTACAGGACGTTTGTCTCTAGCGCAGTGATAACGGCGCTGTTCTTGAAGCAGAGAAACTTACAGATTCACGATCAGTAGAGAGCTCTGCCGAACAGTGTTGAGACACTGCACTTCCATTACACAAATGCAATATTTTCTAAATGTCGATAAAACCTAGTGCAGAATGACGGCGTTTCCATTAACCGATGTTATGCGACTAAACGTCATTTTTTCCTCTCGTGTTAAATCATGTTTTGCTGGTGGTTTACATATCACAGCCACCGCACTAGCCATTATTATTAACCGAAGGAGACATGTGTTATCCATAGACAGTAAAAGAATGGACACAGCGACCCCATAGACTTCAACGGAGAAAAGTGAAGTCAAATAGAAGCACTCACTTCCTGATTGCCAAGCGCACTGCGCAGGCTCACACTGAGCTTGAAGACGTAGTTGTGACGTGAGCAACCTGTCTCACAGTTGTACGTCTTCTAGTAGCGGTGCCAAGAGGAATCTGAATCATTCCCTTCCGAATCTTGCAGAGCCGGAGATCGTGAGTATTAGCTGTTCATGAGCTCGCAGAAGGAGCAACTTTATGACTCTCTATGGGCTTCTCCCTTGACGTTATGCTTCCACGTCCCCCGATTGCGTGTGAGCTTCTACATCTGTCTTTACGGTCATTTCTCTTCTATGCGACAGAGAGTCGCGTGTTATGACGCAATCGTTAGCCTATTTTTACAAAAACTGCTTTTACGGGGCCACAACGTAAGATACAAGGTAATGGAGCATTTTATACATTGTCGTGTTTCTTTAGAAATAAATAATGGACAAATGGAGTCTTTAAACGTCTCAGATGTAAAGTTATTCGCTGTCAAAGTGACGCAAAAATGAATGGGAGTCAATGGAATGCTAACAGCAGGTGAAGGCTTGTTAGCCAATGGCGGCGCCCGGGGAGACTTCAGTTTCAGGCTGGTGGATTACCCCCTTGGTATTATCCAGCATTAATGGCCAGGAACGACCCTTATACTGAGAGCGGCACGAAGTTTCTGGGTGTTTCTCCCTCATCTCTGCTTCAAGCGCTTGATAAATTGTGGCATTTGTTGATTAGAATCCGGTATTCCTGCATAACTCGTCTTCTCTCCAACATACTGTCACGATTCCTGTCTTGTGTTTTCCTTGTCTTGTGTGAACTTTGGTTATTTCCTGTTCTGTGCCATGTTTTGTAGTTTTTCTTGTTTATTAGTCTCTCCAGGTGTTTCTAATGAGCCCCGCCCCCTTGTTAGCTTGTTTGTCTGTGTATTTAACCTCTGTGCTTCAGTTGTTGGTTGTTGTTTTTGTGTAGCTGTTTCTTGCTCCTGTCCTGAGTTCATGTTCTGTTGGTTTGCCCTGGATACCTGTTTGTTTATTAAATTAATGCTTGCACATGGATTCTCTTGACAGGAATTGTGACACATACAGTGTCATCTTTAAAGAATGAGCGACTTTTACGTTCGTCAGGTGACCTGGAAATGCGAACTGTTTCCACTGGACTTTTGTGAAATTGCCTGAAAAACCACTTCAAGCGAGCTGACAAAAAAAAAATTGACATGTTTCCATTGGGCGTATTTTCAATTCGCAATTTGAAGGGTAATGGAAACGCGGCTACACAGACTGAGGTAATTCACACGCGTGATCTCTCTCTCTCATAACTGCATTAGTCTGCTATTAGTGGCTTAAGTCATCATTACTAGCTCTAAAATGACATTTTGGAATTAGCAAAGGAGGCGTGGGATGAGATGCATATGAAATTAGTCCTACACACACACACACACAAGCGTTTAAGGACAAAAACCTGACAAACATCTTGAAATGCATCATCTGAACAATGTCTTGGGGTGTAACTGTAATATAAGCAGAATAATTCATTTCAGACCGTTGAATTATTAGCAAATAATGCACACCTGAGGTAATGGCCACTCTGCTGTTTTTTTCTAACAATTCAACGGACCGTCGTAATGATTCCTTCCTTAACCTTTATCCGTTCGGCCCCATGATGGAAAGTTGCTTTAGTGATAAAACAGAATGGGCACTGGACTTTTCTCGGTATATTTATTGCTGAACACTCTTTGACTTGTGTCTGGATGTTGTTTAAATAATCTCTGCACATTGTAAAAAAAATAAAAAAAAATAGCAACCTAATATTTTGAAGCAAAATAAACATGTAAGGAATGTAAAAAGGAATGCAGGTTTAAACGTCCTCCTGTTCTGTTCGCTCTCTTGAGGAGACCCATCTGCTCACCAGCACCTCCTGAAACACACCATAATATAATATATTACAGATCCAGACGTGCAGAGAAACACACACGCTGTCTTCTGTCTCACCTGTATGGTGAACCGCTTCAGACACTCGGGAGACGACAGCATGTCTTCTGTCAGATCTGATGGAGTGATGACGTAGCAGAGCATCAGTTCCTGCGCATAAAACACATGCAGCGTCACGGAACACACACGCAGCATCACGGAACACACACGCAGCGTCACAGAACACACACGCAGCGTCACAGAACACACTAAACTCTCCCACGTTTCAACAAATACACACTTTTTGCACTGTCCGTGAGTTAAGTTAAGATATCCACTTTATTAATCCCACAAGAGGCAATTATATTAGGGCAGTGGCATCACATCACACACAAAAAAACCAACATGCATTTAAAACAACCATATTCCACATATACATATCTACTTATTACCTTATTACCATACTTTACAATAAAATTAACACGAGAGAAAAAAAATCCTTAATAAAAATAATTTGCATTACAAATACAAATGAAGTGAACCTTTTTTTGGTTCGTTTTACAGTAAAGTGTCAGTGACAGTGGGTGTCGAACCTTCAGAAACGGTGGATCTTCACCTACAAGTTACATCTGATCTGTTTTCTGGATTTTGTCATTTTGGCAAACACTTTTTTTTTTTTTAAATAGTATTACCCTGATGATGTTAATGCTCGACGTGGAGCCAAAGTCAAGTCCAGTCTCCTTTATTTATAAAGTGCTTTTTACAATACAGATCGTTTAAAAGCAGCTTCACAGAGACAACAGGAAAATAATATAAAAAGTTTGTCTCTGTAGTTTCTAGTTTTAATAAATTTTTCAACTTGGTTGTGGATTATTACACTTATGCCATGGTTATTTGCCAGCATTGCCAAGTTAAAACTGTTATTGATGTTTGACTGGAAGGGTAAAAATGACTTATTTTCATCATTAGATCTAGCATTCTGCCCGCTTTAAATCAGATTAAAGAGATAAAGTGCGCCAGATTACATTTATTTGCATGAATGAATAATAGCATTTATTTAAACAAATTATCTAGAGAAAGAGAGATGAGCGTGAATTACATGAGTCTGTGCAGCGTCTCTAACTATAGCTGTGTTTCCATCCAACATTGCAAATTTAGTTAAATCAGAAATATGAGTAATAAAACTACATTTCTGCAATGCAGCTCTTTTCCCTCCATCATAAACGAGTGTGTGTCGAGCGTCAGATGAAACAGTAAACGCTGTCGTGTTCTCTGGTGTTCGGGAACACACTCGTGTGTGTGAGACGCTTCTGGAGGGAATTAAACCCAATCATTCTGATCACACACTTCGACTCCGGCGTTTCAGAAACACCAAACCAACATTAGAGACGCTGCGACGCCATTGGTCCGCTGGTTACTCCAGTTATTCAGTCCACAGAGGTATCTAACGCTTCTGGAACAAGAACAAATGTGGGCGGGGCTTGATTTTGTCAGTGTGTAATTGATTGGATGGTTGTGGTTTGCTATTGGCTGATCTCAGGTGAGTGACAGGTGTCGCCGGCCTCGTCATCAGAGATGTGATAAGTGGTGTCGTACCTTCGAGACGTTCCCGGTGGTTCTGCTGAGAGCAGCGAGAGTCCTCCAGCTGAAGGATCTCAGAGAAGCGCCTCTGAAACACACGTCTGACCTCTCCACCACCACGGAGTAGCTGAACGCACAATCAAACACTTCTCAATGAAACATTTGAAGGCTTATAACATATTAAAGCACTTGACGTGAAAAAACCCCCCCAGCATAATTTGGGTTCCGAATTCAGTTTAAAGGGATAGTTCACCCAAAAATGAAAAATAAGCCCATGATTTACTCACCCTGAAGCCATTCTAGGTGTAATATGACTTCTTTCAGTCATATTAAAAAATGTCCTGGCTCTTCCAAGCTTTATAATGGCAGTGAATGGCCGTTTCTGTTTTGAAGTCCATAAAAGTGCATCTATCATCATAAAAGTGCATCTGTCCATGATAAAAGTGCATCTATCGAATGATAAAAGCGCATCTATCCATGATAAAAGCGCATCTATCCATGATAAAAGTGCATCTATCCATGATAAAAGTGCATCTATCCATGATAAAAGTCCATCTATCCATGATAAAAGTGCATCTGTCCATCATCTAAATGCATCTATCCATCATCTAAATGCATCTATCCATCATAAAAGTGCATCTGTCCCTCATCTAAATGCATTCATCCATCATAAAAGTGCATCTATCCATCATCTAAATGCATCTATCCATCATCTAAATGCATCTATCCATCATCTAAATGCATCTGTCCATCATAAAAGTGCATCAAGTATATCCATGATAAAAGCACATCTATCCATCATAAAGTGCATTTATCAATCATAAAAGTGCATACACTCACCGGCCACTTTATTAGGTACCCCATGCTAGTAACGGGTTGGACCCCCTTTTGCCTTCAGAACTGCCTCAATTCTTCGTGGCATAGATTCAACAAGGTGCTGGAAGCATTCCTTAGGGAGTTTGGTCCATATTGACATGATGGCATCACACAGTTGCTGCAGATTTGTCGGCTGCACATCCATGATGCGAATCTCCCGTTCCACCACATCCCAAAGATGCTCTATTGGGTTGAGATCTGGTGACTGTGGAGGCCATTTTAGTACAGTGAACTCATTGTCATGTTCAAGAAACCAATTTGAAATGATTAGAGCTTTGTGACATGGTGGAAGTAGCCATCAGAGGATGGGTACATGGTGGCCATAAAGGGATGGACATGGTCAGAAACAATGCTCAGGTAGGCCGTGGCATTTAAACGATGCCCAATTGGCACTAAGGGGCCTAAAGTGTGCCAGGAAAACATCCCCCACACCATTACACCACCACCACCAGCCTGCACAGTGGTAACAAGGCATGATGGTTCCATGTTCTCATTCTGTTTACGCCAAATTCTGACTCTAACATCTGAATGTCTCAACAGAAATCGAGACTCATCAGACCAGGCAACATTTTTCCAGTCTTCAACTGTTCAATTTTGGTGAGCTCTTGCAAATTGTAGCCTCTTTTTCCTATTTGTAGTGGAGATGAGTGGTACCCGGTGGAGTCTTCTGCTGTTGTAGCCCATCCGCCTCAAGGTTGTGAGTGTTGTGGCTTCACAAATGCTTTGCTGCATACCTCGGTTGTAACGAGTGGTTATTTCAGTCACTGTTGCCTTTCTATCAGCTCGAACCAGTCTGGCCATTCTCCTCTGACCTCTGGCATCAACAAGGCATTTCCGCCCACAGAACTGCCGCTCACTGGATGTTTTTTCTTTTTCGGACCATTCTCTGTAAACCCTAGAGATGGTTGTGCGTGAAAATCCCAGTAGATTAGCAGTTTCTGAAATACTCAGACCAGCCCTTCTGGCACCAACAATCATGCCACGTTCAAAGTCACTCAAATCAACTTTCTTCCCCATACTGATGCTCGGTTTGAACTGCAGGAGATTGTCTTGACCATGTCTACATGCCTAAATGCACTGAGTTGCCGCCATGTGATTGGCTGCTTAGAAATTAAGTGTTAACGAGCAGTTGGACAGGTGTACCTAATAAAGTGGCCGGTGAGTGTATATCCATAATAAAAGCGCATCTGTCCATCATAAAAGTGCATCAAGTATATCCATGATAAAAGTGCATCTATCCATCATCTAAATGCATCTATCCATGATAAAAGTGCATCTATCCATGATAAAAGTGCATCTATCCATGATAAAAGTGCATCTATCCATCATAAAAGTGCATCTATCCATCATAAAAGTGCATCTATCCATCATAAAAGTGCATCTATCCATCATAAGTGCATCTGTCCATCATAAAAGTGCATATATCCATCATAAAAAAACATCTGTCCATCATAAAAGTGCATCTATCCATCATCTAAATGCATCTATCGATCATAAAAGTGCATCTATCCATCATAAAGTGCATTTATCTATCATAAAAGTGCATCTGTCCATCATAAAAGTGCATCAAGTATATCCATGATAAAAGCACATCTATCCATCATAAAAGTGCATCTATCCATCATAAAAGTGCATCTATCCATCATAAAGTGCATCTATCCATCATAAAGTGCATCTATCCATCATAAAGTGCATCTATCCATGATAAAAGGGCATCTATCCATGATAAAAGGGCATCTATCCATGATAAAAGGGCATCTATCCATCATAAAAGTGCATCTATCCATCATCTAAATGCATCTATCCATCATAAAAGTGCATCTATCCATCATAAAGTGCATCTATCCATCATAAAAGTGCATCTATCCATCATAAAAGTGCATCTATCCATCATAAAGTGCATCTATCCATCATAAAAGTGCATCTATCCATCATAGTGCATCTATCCATCATAAAAGTGCATCTATCCATCATAAAAGTGCATCAAGTGCATCCGTCCATCATAAAGTGTTCTACAGGCTCTGGGCGGTTAATAAAGGCCTTCTGAAGTGAAGCGATGCATTTGTGTAAGAAAAATATCCATTTTTGAAGCTTGGAAGAGCCAGGACATTTTTTAATATAACATTGTATTCGTCTGAAATTCGTCATTTTTGGGTGAACTATCCCTTTAATGCTTATTTATGATTTGCATGTCGGCTGGACTGTATCTTGATGCAACAAAGCAAACTACTTTAACAAGAACAAACCTTGCATGATAAAACGGTGGTCCTTTTCGGTAGAGCACTAGAAAAGAGAGAAATAAAGGATCAGCACTAGAACAAATGAGAATCTGAGCTGACAAAGCAATCTATAGCAACTCTATAGTGCGCTAAAGCGAGAGTCGTGTGTCAACGCCAGCAACGGCTCCTGAAGTTCACAGCCAAGACTCCGTTTCAAAGAGCAACGGGTCTGAGTGCGAGGAAAGCAAGGCTTAATACACCTGAATAATTCACCGGTGCACCTCCAGTGTTACACACACTACTTGGAAAATCTCTCTCACCCGCTGGACTCGGTTAGTTCAGGGTTAGGCCTAAATGTTTCAGAGGGACACGCCATAAACAACAGTGCTTTTGTGAACAGATGGACGATTCTGTGCGTTACACACCAGACAAGCAAACTCAGATGCAAGTCAGTTTAATTGGTTCTAACTATTCTTGCATGAACATTAAAGGCTACCTAGACTTTTATATCTTCTGCTTTCAGTCTGTGCGTTGCTTCTTGACATGCAAAGCTTGATATTCTTTGGCTTCTTTTGAAATTATTTTCATTGATGTAGAAAAATGAATACACGAACTGGCCACAATTTGACTTAAATGTAAGTTATTAACTTTGGTTGCACTTTATTTTAAGCCATCCTGGTTACGGTGTAATAATTACACAAATAAGTAATGAGTAATATTAGCAAAACGGACTTCCTATTGGATTCGGGCTAATTGCATGTAATTGTGCATCATTAACTATAATAAGTACACAAGGACACTAAAATAAAGTTACACCAAATTTGTTTTAGTGTAGTGTTAACAATTTGTTTTTCTTTAAAAGTGTAGTGACCAATTTCTTTAAGTGTAAAACATTTTCTTCAGAAGTGGAGTTACAAACTTATTTTTTAAAGTGTTATACGAATGTCATTTTCTTTAAAACTGTAGTTACCACTTTGTTTTTCTTTAAGTGTAGTGTTACCAATGTTTTTCTTTAAGTGTAGTGTTACCAATGTTTTTCTTTAAGTGTAGTGTTACCAATGTTTTTCTTTAAGTGTAGTGTTACATATTTGTTTTTTAAGTGTAGTGTTACAAACCTATTCTTTAAGTGTAGTGTTACAAACTAAATGTTACACATGTCTTTTCCTTTAAAAGTGTAGTTCCCCATTTTTTTCTTTGAAGTGTAGTTACAAACTTCTTTTTTAAAAGTGTAGTTGCCAATATTTTTCTTTAAGTGTAAAGTTACCACCCTTTTCAATAAAACTGCTGTATAAAAGCAATGTCACACTCACAATCATGCATCAAATGTTGGATGCCAAATCTCAGCAATGTTGAAACACACGAATGTGAATGAAATTTCTTAACTCTGAAATGTGGAATTGCTTGCAAAATTTATTATTAAAATGACCCTGCATTGAAAAAAAAATCAGTTTTATGTAGTTCACATTTTCAGTTGAGATTTTAGGAGAAATATCCTTACTTAAGTCAGTTCCATATTTAACTCCAGACTTCGGCACCCAGCCTTTACTGCGGAAATAGTGATAGGCGGCGTACGAGGTGGAGAAGTTGGGCTGAAGCGAACGAAACATCGTCCAAACCTGAGCGACTGACAGAGCTTCCTATAGTAAACAAGACCAGACCGACTTAGCTACCAATGAAGAAACAACACATTTAAATTACGTACACAGACAGGTGTGTGTTTCCCGTATAACGCTGTAACTCGCTGCTTCACTACTATAGGGATCTCCCAGTCACGTGACCCCTAGCCGCGTGTCAGCCATTTTGACGGAATACATCCGTCAGCTACTCAGTGGCGGATCTATTATTAGGGGTGGGTCACCCCTAATAATAGATTCATTGCCGTGGGTAATATATATTATTAGTATATTATACTAATAATATAAATATTAGTATAATTATTTTTATAATTAGCCTAAATATTGCAATACTTTGCGCTACAGTATTAAAATAATTGCGTGTGCAAAATCGCAGCCGTCAGCTAACTCTTCACGTCATGTCATCGCACTTATTATTAGCATCACAAAAAGAAATAGCCTGTACAAGGGGAAGATAAAGGAATTAGGTATCATTAGGGATGGCCCGATACCATTTTTTTTCAAACCGATACGAGTACGAGTATTTACATTTGTGTACTTGCCGATACCGAGTACCGATACCGATATTTCTACCGCAAAAGTAATAGGCTCCCAGAAAAGAAGACGACTATTTTAGAACACAGGTTAGAAGACTGTTTTTATTTTCTTCTCTGCTTGTTTTAACAAGTCTAAAAATAAATAAAAATTAGTAAAATAATAAATGTATTAACACACAAACCACTGTTATTTAACATAAAAGCAAGCAGGCTACTGCGTGCATGGTCTGGCATGACTGAATGCGCGCAAAGTGGGCTCCCTTAATAAATCCTAAAAGCTGACAGTTCATCGCGATCTCACACATCTCTGTTATTATCAATGAAGCTGACTGCACAATCAATCTTTCACAATATCCACACTTTGTTTGTTATAATTAGAGGATTTGCCAGCATACAGAATTCAGCACTGAACAAAAAAGTCCGTTTTGAGCGGTGAGGAGAGTCTATCTTAAATGCTTCTGATTGGCCATTGCGTTCCAGAAATCAACACATATGTCTGTGATTGGCTACATCGCTCAACGCTGTAACCATGTTATGAATAGAAACTCTGTCCTGTAAATCGTTTCTATTTTGTTGTAGTTGTTCTTGTTGCTTTTCTGCAAGAGATGAATAAAAATCTTTTAGTTTTTATGTTTTATTCATAGATATTTCTAGTTTGCGGGAGTCCCGCGAATCGTTTTATTCCCCCGTAACCCGCACACACAGAGTGAGTGCATTACCGCCTGCGCGCGCGCTCGGCCATCAGATCTATGATGCGTCTTCAGATGTTTAATTAGATTGCTGGTGTTAAACGATGTACTTTCTTTCCCTCCTCTCGACACCTTAGCTGAACATAACTCACACCTTGCTGTTGTCATCATCCCTTATCTTGAAATGAGCCCAAACCGCCGACATTATACTTTCCTATGCGTCAGTTCACCTCGACAAAGCACTCGCGGCGGCCAGTTTCGTTTTGCAAAATGTACGTGGTATCGGTGCGTGGTATCGGCGAATTTTTATGAGTACGAGTACGAGTATATTAGGACAGTATCGGCCCGATCCCCGATGCCAGTATCGGTATCGGGCCATCCCTAGGTATCATAGATCCATATGAACCACCACAAGCTCTTTTTACAGGCATTAAATTTGAAGAAAAACGTCCTGACATTGAGTTCGGTGACATTTACAGCAACCTTATTCACTTCCCATCACGCTACACCGGAACTTCATTAAAAGCATACAAAAGCAGGCTATCGGTATCACGAGTCCGGATGGGTCAGCAACTCTTTGATCTGGACTCCAGCGGGGAAGGATTTTTCAATCATCACCGCAAAGTTTGATCAATGTATTTTTATCACCAAATTATATGCCTACCTGTAATAATTTTGAAACTGAGTTTACAGGGAAAAACACTAAACAAAATCACCAACAAGATTAAGTGCATCTTAAATGAATTTGTTGAATCTAGTTTGATCCAAGAAAACCAAAATAATATGCGTATATACTTTTTTATACTTGTCACTGTTAAGTTTAAGACATTAAAAAATTGTGTTCATGCACATTATACCTCTGTGCTGAATATTGTTTAATATTTCACATGACGCTTTACCGGGAATAAAAATGGGACTCATATTATGAAGTTCCCAGAAGTGCGGTGGGGGTTGTTGTTCGAGCACGAACGAGGTGGTCTATTGTTATGGTGTTGACGAATAAACGGATGATCGATTCTAAAGTGTATCTTTTTGTATAACATTGGTAGCAGAGGATGGTTAGCAACTACAGAGTACCACCAACATTTGATGAAGGAAAACCATATGAAAGTTGGAAGAATGAAGTCGCAATTTGGACCAGGGTTACGGAGCTCGAAAAAAAGAAACAGGCACTTGCTGTGGCTTTGGCGCTGTCGGGAAGAGCGAGAGAAACGGCAATGGAAATACCGGTAGATGATTTGAATAAGGACACTGGCATGGACACTTTACTTGTGAAACTCGATGATTTGTTTCTCAAAGAAGAAAAGGACCAAGTTTATGAGGCGTACTCGAGTTTTGGATTATGAAAGATAGCGCTGTTTCCATGACAGACTATATAATTGATTTTGAACAGCGGTACTCGCGGATGCGTAAATATAAGATGGAGCTTCCCGATGCAGTGTTAGCATTCAAACTGCTCGACACTGCGTGCTTAAAAGTGAAAGACCGACAGTTAGCTCTGACAACATGTACAGATTTGAATTTTGCTTCAATGAAGTCAGCACTGAAAAGGATTTTCAGAGGAAAGTCTGCTTCTACAGTGGGGATTAATCAGGAAACAGCATATGTAACAGAACAAAGACGACAAAGGAGCAAGCCATGGTCGCAAAATGTTCAGCAAAAGACACCACTGCCTGGTACTAACCCTCTGGACAGGTATGGACGCAGATCAAAATGTGCTGTTTGTCAAAGCACGTTCCACTGGGCCAAAGACTGTCCACACATAGGTGAGCAAGTCAAACTGACTGAAGATTGTAAAACAGATGATATAGAGGAGTGCAACATTACTCTGTATACAAAAGAGTCGCCCACTGAAGCAGAAATATTTATGACAGAGTGTTTCGGCTCAGCAATAATAGACACTGCATGCACACGGACTGTGTGTGGACAGGAATGGATAAATAGCTACATCGCTGAACTAAGCCAAAACGAGATAAAAGACCTGAGGAAGACAGAAACACACAGTCACAGACCCTTTAAGTTTGGTGATGGAAAAGTGGTCTATTCCAACAAAAAGTTAAAAATTCCTGCAAAGATAGGACAAACTAAGTGTCATATTGAAACTGAAGTTGTGCCAGCGAAGATTCCACTACTCTTGAGCAAGGCATCCATGAAAAGAGCAGGGACAGTGCTGGATATGGAGAATGACAGTGCGGTGATGTTCAGTCAACCTGTAAAACTTGACTTTACAAGCTCTGGTCATTACTGCGTAAACATTATGGACAATGAAAAGAGAAACATTCAAGGTGATAACTGTGTCTTGGTAGCTGTTGAAGATGTCTCGCTAACGGAACAAAAGAATGAGGATGTACAAAGTCAGTGTGATGAGGAAATACTGACAATCTCAGAAAAAATTAGCTCAGCAGAAAAACAAAATCCTGATGAAGCTTCACAGACAATTTGGTCATGCTTCTGCTGATAGACTGCAGAGACTTCTTACTAGCTCAGGCAATAAAGATGCAGAATGTAGTGTCATTCTGGAAAAAATTGCGAGTGAATGTGAAACGTGTCAAAGATACAGTAAGACCAAACCAAAGCCTGCTGTTGGCCTAGCACCGGCAACACAGTACAATGAAACTGTTGCAGTAGATCTGCATGAACTTGAACCAGGTGTGTGGTATCTCCACATCATTGACCAGTTCACAAGGTTTAGTGCAGGCAGCATACTGACCATGTAAAGGTCTTCTGAAATAGTGAAACACTTTGTCCATGTCTTGATAAGTGTACATGGTCCACCTCAGAAACTGTTTAGTGACAATGGGGGAGAATTTAACAATGATGAGGTTAGAGACATGGCAGAAAACTTCAACATAGAAATAAAGACAACAGCAGCATACAGCCCGTGGAGCAATGGACTTATAGAGCGACACAACCAAACGCTTACAGAGATCATAATGAAAGTGAAGACAAGTAACGGCTGTGACTGGGATACTGCATTGGACTGGGCTCTTATGGCAAAGAACACCATGCAAAATGTCCATGGCTACAGTTCTCATCAGTTGGTGTTTGGACAGAATCCCAACCTGCCCTCTGTTTTAACCGACAAGCCCCCAGCTTTAGAGGGTACCACGAAAAGTGAGTGGGTGGCAAAACACATCTCTGCTTTACATGCATCAAGAAAGGCGTTCACTGAAGCAGAATGCTCAGAAAGAATACGGAGAGCACTGCGTAAACAACTGCGTAACACAGAGGAAAAATATAAAATGGATGACAGTGTACTACAAGAGAGTTGATTGTCCAAAGTGGAAAGGACCAGGAGTTGTCATTGGCCAGGATGGTGCAGTGGTGTTTGTCAGACATGGAGGAACCTGCATTAGGGTACACTACCTCAGACTAAGAAAAGTAAACACAGACAGCGGAGATCAACATGTCGATAAGGATGATGCTGAAATTGACAAACAATGTGCGTAGACAGGCGATGACAGGAGATGCTGTCAACAACACAGAGGGAACAGAAACTGTAAGCGAAATGCAGCAGAGTTCGGTGCAAATTGAGCACACAGGGGCATCCACTATGGAGCAGAATGAAGCAGCACAACACACAAGTGACGACATGGGGACACAAAGTGATACAGAGCAGGGAACTGATGTCCGTCTAAAAACAGGTCAAGTTCTAAAATACAGAGACAGAGACAGTGGGTCTTTGCACACAGCAAAAGTACTAGGATGTGCAGGCAAAGCTACTGGCAAATATAAAAACTGGTACAATCTTCTGCTCATAGAACCCACAAATGTTGCAGGCTGTAAAGATTCAGTTGACATATCATGTTTAGAGTGTCTTCAAATAGAACCTGCTGTAACTGATGTTAGTGAGGACGTATTGGTAACAAAAGATCTATCCTTTGACCAAGCCAAACAAGATGAGATGAAGAGTTGGAGAGATAACAGTGTGTTTGAGGAAGTTCAGGATGAGGGACAAAAGTGCATCTCAACCAGATGGGTGTGCACTCTCAAGGAAACACTAACTGGACTAGTACCGAAAGCACGATTGGTGGCCAGAGGTTTTGAGGAGTTAAATGTGTTAAAGCTACAAAAGGATTCACCCACATGTGCTTCAGAGTCTCTTCGACTGCTGGTGGCAGTTATTTGTCAAAGACAGTGGACACTTCATTCCATGGATATAAAATCTGCATTTCTGCAGGGAATAGAACTGTCACGTGACATCTACATCAGGCCTCCCCCTGAGGCTATCTGTGAGGGAGCATTAAGGAAGGAAAAAGTGTGTATATGGTTTGGCAGATGCTTCATTGTACTGGTACAATAGAGTGAAAGACATAGTACTGAAAGCAGGGGGAAAAATGTCCAAGGTTGATCCAGCTGTTTTTTATTGGCTAGATCAGGACTACACTGTAACTGGGGTGCTTGCCTGTCATGTGGATGACTTCATATGGGGGGGCACGCAAAGTTTCTCCACAACTGTGATACCACACCTTCGATCTGTTTTTCAAGTTGGACGTGAGGAACATGATCACTTCTGTTATGTGGGAATAGATTTTGTGACTGTTGACGGAAAAGTACAAATTCACCAGGAAAACTACATTCAACACATGCAGCCCATACATATGGATATTTCACGAGCTGTGGAACAAGACTCATCTCTCTGTGAGGAGGAAAAGGATCAGCTCAGGTCTAAAATAGGCGAAATTCTCTGGGTTGCAAGGCAGAGCAGGCCAGATGTCATATTTGATGCTAGCAATTTGACATCAAACATAAAAAATGCAACTGTGCAGACAATCCATGAAGCAAACCGGATAGTGTGCAAACTTAAGTCCAAGAAGATCATTCTAAACTTCCAACACTTGGGGAGAGACAGTGCTCTTAAGATAATTGTGTTCAGTGATGCTTCGTTTGGAAATCTTTCAGATGGAGGTACCCAAGGAGGGCACCTGATTCTTCTAATGGGAGAAAATGGAAAATTCTCACCCCTTTCATGGCAATCAAAGAGAGTCAAAAGGATTGTGCGGAGCACACTTGCTGGTGAAACATTGGCGATGTCTGATGGAATTGACAATTCTATCTTTCTGTCCACACTGTTCTCAGAACTAACTACTGGTGATGCTGAACATGCTCCACCAATAATCTGTGTCACAGACAATCATTCGCTTGCTGATGCACTTAAGTCCACAAAGTCAGTCTCTGAGAAAAGACTCCGCCTGGAGATAAGTAGTATCAAAGAACTTGTCCAAAGAAAAGGGGGCATCAGCTTGTCAGTTACTCAAAGCACTGAGTGAAGGACAATGGAAACTGAATTAAAACAGTCTGTCTTTGAGTTGTACTCGAGAGCTTGTTAAAATATACTAGGTCGTGTTTTTGTTTAAGGAGGTTGTTCAGTATGTCCTGTTAGTATACTGAATTGATAGATTATTATTATAATTTCTTTTTTTTTTTTGAAGAGTGGGAGTTTGTTAAAGGAACACTCCGACTTTTTGAAACTTTAGCCTATTCACCTTATCCCCCAGAGTTAGATAAGTCCATACATACCTTTTTCATCTCCGTGCGTGCTGTAACTCTATCTGACGCACCCACCGCTAGCCTAGCTTAGCACAAAGACTGGATGTAAATGGTTGCAGCTAGCATACTAATCCAAATAAGTGACAAAATAGCGCAAACATTTTCCTATTTACATGTTGTGATTTGTATAGTCACGGAGTGTACAAAAAACGAAGCCACATGAGACACAGACATTTTAACCGTATAAATACTGGGAACTATATTCTCTGAAGGCGAAGCACTGCTACTTGGGCGGAGTGATAACCGCAGCACCTGAGACGCGCTCTCTGCTCCTCACCACGACGCGTCTCAGGTGCTGCGGTTATCTCTCCGCCCAAGTAGCAGTGCTTCGCCTTTAGAGAAATAGTCGCCTTCAGAGAATATAGTTCCCAGTATTTATACGGTTAAAATATGTCTGTGTCTCATGTGACTTTGTTTTTTGTACACTCTGTGACTATACAAATCCCAACATGTAAATAGAAAAATGTTTGCGTTATTTTGTCACTTATTTGGATTAGTATGCTAGCTGCAACCATTTACATCCAGTCTTTGTGCTAAGCTAGGCTAGCGGTGGGTGCGTCAAACAGACTTATAGCACGCACGGAGATGAAAAAGGTATGTATGGACTTTTCTAACTCTGGGGGATAAGGTGAATAGGCTAAAGTCCCAAAAAGTCGGAGTGTTCCTTTAAGTTTAAGACATTAAAAAATTGTGTTCATGCACATTATACCTCTGTGCTGAATATTGTTTAATATTTCACATGACGCTTTACCGGGAATAAAAATGGGACTCATATTATGAAGTTCCCGGAAGTGCGGTGGGGGTTGTTGTTCGAGCACGAACGAGGTGGTGTATTGTTATGGTGTTGACGAATAAACGGATGATCGATTCTGAAGTGTATCTTTTTGTATGACAGTAACTATCATACTACAGTGACACTGACTGTCACTGTAGTATGATAAACTGTCATTGAGACTGTCTCAACCTGTGTTTCTGACGATTTATAAGAAGTGTCAAGTGTAATAAAATACAAGCTTTCGGTATAGAGATATTCCTTTTGTATGATCACGTATCTGATCGCATCCAACTGCACAGCATCGCTCAGGCATGATAGGAATATTTCGCGACGAGCTGTATTATCACCGGCGGTTTAGCTTTTTCTATTCCGTCAAGATGGCTGCGCCAAATGGCGTGACGTCACGCGGGACGTCCCTATAGTACGATGATGCATCGTTGAAGAAATCATCTCGCTAGTCACGACTGTTTCCCGAAACCATATTGTCGCAAATTGGTCGTTCAACCACGTTGGTTAAGGATGTCACGCAGGTGTTGGAGTAATAATACTTTTAATGAATGTGTTTGAGATGGAATTAATGCGAGATGTTTAACTATAAATTACGAACATGCCATCTGAGGAATATTTCTAATATTTCTCAGTTATTTTTCTTTATTTCCAGATTCAATCATAGGCTCGTTCTTACACACTAGAGCTCGTTCACACATGCGCACTCTTCAAACACGACGCTTTAAATCTCTTGACAAACTAAAAGATGTAAATGACATTACTATGTATTCTAAATAAAAGATATAGATTGCACTGAATGTCAGCTTGCTTATTTTGCTCAAGATCAGGATTTATTGAGTCCACATGTCATGCAAACTGGAAACTCTAGATTTGACAGATCTAGATCTATCAAACACACAACTCGGCGATGCTGTTGTCGAATGTTCGTTACGGGAAACAGCGACTCGTTGAACTGCTGATAACGACAGAACTCGCGACTATAGTTGGCGAACGATGCTTTGGGAAACACACTCCTGGCCGACACACAGTAAACACAGTAGAAACTCACCCCGCTGTAATAAATGGACAAGCATCCAAGAGCATAAACCAGAAAGAAAGCCTGAAATACAAAGACAGCATCTCGTTAGGAGACAAATGACTCCGCATCGCTTCTCAATTGATTTGCTTGGTTGCTAACAAGGTTATGTTAGGATGTCTCCTAAATCACACGGGCTTTGGTTCAAACCCACGATAGCGGTCTAAGAAATTACACAGGGGAATGTCAGAGAAAGGTAAAGCATACAGCCGGGATGATGAATAATCAATTATAAAACATCACATATTGCTCTTCGACTCTTTGCTGCGACTCCAGGGTGTATTTAACTGGAGAATGATGGGATGTGCTCACACTAACGAGAGTGCTCACTTCAGTAAGCTGTTGTTGAGGGAGGTTGAATTAACACTTCAGGGAGAATACAGTAGATAAGACATTCACGTTCACTTCTGTTGTTTGGATTGGCTCAAATCGCTCGACTACATCCAGCTGTGACAATAAAACACCCTTTAACTCAAAGCGGACCGATGAAAACCACGAGACCACAGTGATGGAGGACTGGGATAATAATAGCATAATTGCAGCAAATGTTGACAGACAGGATTTCTGGGTAATGCATCATCACACGGATGGCTTGAACCTTCAGGTTAGTCACTTATTTTCATGTTATCACTGTGAAGATGCTTTGATACAATCTGTATTGTAAAAAAAAAAAAAAAAGTGCTATATATAAATAAAGGTGACTCACTTCTTCATAACTCAGCTGGAGATACTCCATCATGGGGAACGGGTTTATTCTGCACACACACTTGCCCAGCTGCTCCTGATGTGAGGAAAGACTCCATTACTGGCAGATTCACTCTTAAAACTGAGACTGGAGAAATGCATTATTATTATTAGGGGTGTAAATATATCGCAATACAAAAATGCAACAATATGTATCGAGGATAGTGACAATATGTGGATAGTTCACCCAAACTAAAAAATACTGTGTGAGAAAATCTAATTTTCAGAGTTTTAGTGTCAGTACTACATTAAACTATTATATATAATGTTGAATATAATGTATAATAATGCAGTGGGGAATATTTGTGTGTCCTGATAATGCCCGATGTCTGATGTTACCAGTAAAAAGTGTTCTACATTATTTTAATATATCTAGTCAGTGACAGTGAAAGCATATTCGTCTAAAACAATTCAGTATTTTCAGCTTCAGAATCATGAATATTGTTATTCTGGTGTCTCTATTGTCCTGTGCTTTGGGTTTCAGCACCAAGTCCAACACTATTCATTTACACACACAATGTAATAACTGTAAAAACTGTTAACCTGTTATTATATGTCTTGGAGTACCGCAGTAATATGGTATCGTGAGTTCAGTATCATGATATGTATCGAATCATGACATGTCATGAGGATATCGATACATCACTACTAATTATTTGTTTACACTAAAGTGTCTTCGAAAACAAAGCTCTTCCGTAAGCATGCATCTAAATCCAAAACATGCATGAAGTGCTTTCCCTCACTTTGACTGAAACATTTCCAATTGTTTATAATTAGTAACTTTTTTAGGACTTTTAATTTATAGTTAATGCTCTCAAAGGCCAAAGAATGCAGTGGTCAGTCCTGTATTTCAGTCCTAGATATGGTTATGTTCACACAGTTCAGTTATTTACTGGAGCGACAACACCTTCAGGGCTGCCAACTCTCACGCATTCACCGTGAGACTCACGCAATTGAGCCAATTCTCACGCTCTCACGCCACACCCCCGATTTCTCACGCTGAAGTGTCAACCCAGTCGGTCAAATACCTGAAAGATAAGTTTATCTATAGATCTACCAGTTGAGCCATTCGTGATCGACTAGTTTTACCGCAAATTAGTTAAAATATCCTGTAATCTATAGCGAGCGAGCGTGCATGCGAGACAGATGTGTTGAGCTCCTAACGGCGCGCTCCTAACCGCGCACGCGCACACGACGGCAGAGAGGTGATTAAGCGAGCTTGCGTGTCTTTCGCAACACAACCCAGTGGACAGTTAGACTGTATTGATACAGTTGAGAAATAATAATAATTTTACAGTTTTCAACAATAATTGGCATTGTTGAACCCTTGCTCTTATATTTCTGATTTCTCAGTTTTGTCATTATTTTAGCAAATAATTTATTTTATATGTTTTGAGACAGTTTGTTTGAAGAAGTTTTAAAGAGTTAGTAAAAGAGTAAAGTAAAAGTTAAAACTTTTTTAAGTAGGCATCTATTGTTTATTAAGTAGGCCTATTTATTTTGTATTAATACATAACCTTACTGTATTCATTCATAATGTATCATTATTGCGTGACATTTGTGTCAATAATCGTCAAGCACAGGGGACTTCGCGTCGTGGGAGGGGCCCCCCAAATCAAATTCTGCTTAGGGCCCCCAAAAGGCTCGGACAGGCTCTGGAGACCAGACAGACAGTGTGAGTTTTCTGTGACAATTGTGAGGGAAATACACAATTTATTCCCATAAACTGTGTAGTCAGCCGTTCTCCCTCCCATCTGCACTGTGTGAAAGAATTGTGAACGCAGGCAGGTCAGTGAGTTACAGGGCCCTCCTTGTCTCCATCCAGTTTAGGCTGGTAACTAATAGGCCTGTTATATAGAATTAAGTTAGCAATAGCAGAGTTGTTTGTTTTGCAGCACTGAGCAGTTATTTTACATAACTTTATCATAAAAACAGTACAAAAGCATTTCCAGATGACAAATATCTGGACATGCCTAGTAGTTAATGTTAATTATTGTTTTCTAAGAACAGAATGTCAATTAAAATGTTAAATGTAAAATTAAATGTAATGTAAATCTCCCAAGAAATTCTGTACAGATACCAAATACTTTGACAATCAATATATACTTAATACACTTCTGCTAATGCAAGGATTTTGTGTTTGTATTTTTCCCCACACCAAGCCACGCCCCTCAATAAGCCCCTCCCCCATAACCCAAGCCCCGCCCCCCAAAATCTCACTCTAAGCTGAACTCAAAAGTTGGCAGCCCTGCACCTTCTATAACCGAACTCACTCCCGGAAATGTTCAGGACCTGGGCACGATTCCTTTCCTGAAAAAAAATCGTGATATGATATTTTTGCCATATCATCCACCCCTATTTTTATAGATAATTAGCATTTCCATCCACTACTGTACAACAGTACATGCTAAATCTTTTTCGCAAAAAGATACTTGGATGAAATTTGGCTACTGCAACATTAGCATTATGAGCTGAAACTTCCTTTCATTTGTGGATTGAGAGATTATTTTCAGCGTTCGTACAGAGACCGTAAAACGAAATTCCAGGAATTTTCAAGCACTCGTTTTTGGATTTCAAGGACTATAATCAGATCTCACTTATCAAACAATATCCTTATTACCTTTCAAATTCTAAAAAAAGGTAAATAGATAAACAACAAACTAATAAAACAAAATGGTACATATAAAGTGGAACACACTCAATAACTGGTAACTTTAACCATTGACTTGATACTATGACAAAGATATCGCTTTTCCTAATTTTTTCTCCCATGAATATATAATTGAGCTGAAGAATGAAACTATCATATACTTACGTATTTATATGAGCAATATCACACTCACGTCATGCGAAATGGCTCTATATTTATATCAGACGGGTTGCAGCGTTAATTTTGTGTGCAAAGATTGAGTTATTTAATAAAATTAATTCAATAATTCAAGCACTTTTCAAGTACCTTTTCATAAATATGGCTGTTTTCAAGGACTTAAATGTCAAAACGTCAAATTCAAGCACTTTAAGCACCTTGTACGAACCCTGTCTTTTGCAAATCTAGTTTACTTTACCATTGAGACGTTATCCTCGGTAGAGTTTCCATCCTCCTCCTCAGAAACCTCCACCAGAACATATTCCTGCGCGTCTGTCGGGTTGGTGTCGGGCACGGTCGGCTCTGAACTCCTCTGGGTTTCATCCGCTCTACAGCCGCAGTGTGCGACCCAGTCGTCGTGTCTTCCGCACTTCACGGTGGGTTTGGAGAGCTGGTCTAAGCGCTCCGGTTCTTCAGGATAGTCTTCGGCCAGAGGGTCGTAAACCGGGTTTCCTTGACGCCGAGACCTGGCAGTATCAGTCTGATCCACATTTAAATCAGTCTCACATGACACATCATCCAATGAGCCGCCAACGCGTGTGGCCTGAGATTGCACATCAAACTCCACTGGTTTAGTGAGTATCTGCAGTGCATGATGGACAGACTCATCCTCCAATCCCTGCATCGCGAGAGCCGCCCGTGCCCAGCTGAGACGCTTCTGGTATCTGGTAGAAATTAATCCAACACCACTGATTATTACGCATCAAGTGCATGCATGAGAATAACTGCAAACTAGGGATGCAACGATATGAAAATTGTCCGATAATTCTTTATATTTGAAAGCCGATAACCGATATATTGGCTGATAAATCTAAATCCAAATTTTTATATAATTTTTGATAGCCTAATATAATTTTATGTAGCCGATATGACAGACTTGTGTTGCACTTTACTGTATTTTGCTTTTTTGAAGTGATTCCAATCATATTTCAAGCAATTCAAAACCATCATGTTGAACAGTCGCATCTAAAGAGTCTCAGCTGAAGGAAATAATACATTATCAGCTTTAATATATCAGCCAGATTTAATTATCGGGCCGTTAAAAATTACATTATAAATGAACATTTATCGGCCGATACGGATATGGTGGCCGATATATCGTGCATCTCTAGTGCAAACACATCCAGAGTCAATATTACTTACTCTGACCAGGAGATCACAGGTAGACATCTGTCTCCAATGTCTAAAAAATACATAAAATCAGTCATGGTCATATAAAATGTTTAGATGCTTGTGGTTGATAAAAAAACAAAAAAAAAAACGGTCATTTACTCACTCATAATGTTCTAAATACGGTTATTATCGGTAACTTAAACTATTACAAACTTTCCCAAAAATCCAAAATGGATCCTACAATTTTATGCCCATCTCTAATATTTATTTTCTATCAAATAAGTGGTTTAAGTGGTTCTTCACCAGTTGAGGAGCTTTTTGAACAACAATAAGATTTTTGATGTTTTTCCAATCAGAAAACTGCACTCTATTGTAAAAGTTTTAGATGATGTTTTAATGGCCACTGATTCAGCCGACTCTGCTGCACTGGTACTTCCATAAATCGAGGTGAAATGAGATAAAACATTTCTGTTAATTAAAATAAAGCTGAAATAAAATAAAATATAAATATCAGTAGAAAAGCTTAAACTACAATGTTGCCTTGGCAATAAACTAAAATGGTTAACTAATTATCTGGAAACAAAAACTGGAAGGAAAAAAATGTGTCCAATATATTTATATTATGCATTTATTTATATTTATATTATGCAGGGGCTAAAATTTAGACTCACCAAGCGCCGTAATATTTTTATGAATTACGTTTGCCGTAATATTTTTATGAATTCTACCACTGCATTAATGTGACAATTAAGCCTTGACAATTTACATATTCAAGCGCAAGACGATGCAAAGGGAACTCATTACATTACTCTCGCGCTGTGTGGGAAGTGGACATTCACACAAAACAGTCAAAAACAGCGAGTATCCTAGCAAACATAGTTGGTTATGTCTAAAGTGAACATAAACAGTTGAGAAAGTAAACACATGTGTATCAGTATCAGTGTATTAGACCCATGCATTCGCTCTTAAAGTGACAGCAGCCTAATAAACAAACCTTGCCCCGTCTGTGTTTTTAATGTTTATCAAACGACAAAGAAAAAAACACTCACTGCTCTTGGCTGAATAACCTTTGTAAGTTTAATAAGGAAAAAATTAATAAGGATGTTTAATTAAGCATGTTAAGAATATATTTTTATGCAGTGAAGACTATGCAGTGTTATTTTACATTTGCTTTATTACATTTCAGTAGCTGAAAACTACTGTCAGACCTACCGGAAAAGCACTGTTTATTTATGCTTTTACTTTGATTATTTGTTTTTATTTTATTACTGACTGTTCACTTGTCTTTAATAATGTTTCAAATTTATATTAGTTGGCCGGTAAAAAATATTTATGGCTGGTAAATTTTCTTAAGTGGCAAAAAAGTTAGTTTCAGGCCCTGTTTATATGTGAATAAAAGCCTAAATTAAATCTGTTCATCATATAAAACAAGTGTGTTTATTCAGAAGACTTTAGTTGGGGGGGGGATGCAAATATCTTCATTTGTGTTTCAAAGATGAATTCAAGTTTTTGGGGTTTGTAACGAGAAATTTTGACATAATTTAAATTTCTTTTTTTGTTGAACAATCACTTTAAATGTTACAAAATAAGAGCAATAAACACATGATTTAATGCTTCCAACATCCACAGCAACAGTAAATGCTGTCAATCAATACCTACATCTCCATTGTCGAGAGACCACGTGCTCAGGTCTGGATCTCGAGAACACTCCTTTACCAAAGTAACCCTTCAAGAACAAGAAGAGAGCAGGATTAAACGAGTGTTTTACCACGGTATGCCCCAAAAACGTGCAGTGCAGTCTCACCCGCTCATACAGTGTCAGTGTGTGTGCAGGATCTGTGACTATGACTTGATGACTGATGATGTCTGCTCTGTATATGATGCGATCCTCGTCCTGCGAGCTCAATAACACTGGAAGAGGAGCTTCAAACGACTCATAAACCTTCGCCCGGCGTTTGGGCGCTTGAAACACGGCTTCAGTCATGGAGGATCATCATATAAACAACATCACAGGTTAATAATAAGCGCCTGATCGATTTAAGCATGCCATGTGAGATGCGTTCGGTGTCACCGCTAAACCCGTCCGGCCGTCACGCGTAGGGAAACATTAGTTCCGAGGTTCTTGTTTAGGGAATCTTCTTTTTCGTACTAGTCGAACATCAAATAGTCATATTAAATAAGGGATTATATCATAAACCCCACAGTTAAACGTTGCGAATTTATGTTACACTTTTATTCTAATTGTTTTCAGCACATTGCAATTTGTTTCGAGGGCCACTAGAGAGCAATGTTTCCCAATACGTCGTGTACTTCATACTGACCCGGTATTTACAATAAAGGCATTTAGCAGACACTCGCAAACAGAA